GGTTTGGAACATAGCGAATCCGAATGGATCTCATGAAACCTGTACCAGGTGCTTTTATTTTCTTGCTTTTTTCCCATCCATAGAGCATGACAGCATCGATTCTCATTGAGGAGAAACCTTGGGCACCTCTGGCCAGGCCTCGTAGGAAAAGGCCCCGCCCGAGGTTCCGGCGTCAACGGCCACTGTGTGTGGCTGCTCTGAGTGAGGAAAAAAATTAAAAAGAAAAACTGGTTCCATGTACTGTGAACTTGAAAACATGCAGACTCAGGGGGGGTCCCTGATGCAGTGCTTCAGATGAAGAATGTGGACTTGAAAATACAGACTGGGCTAGTCCAGTGTCTATATTTAAACTTGTTCTTTTCTTTTAATAAAGTTTAGGTAACATCTCCTGAAAAGCTTGTAGCACAAAGGCTCAGCTGGGGATGGTGTTTGACTTTGGAGGAAAAAAGTTGCTATTGCCCGTTAAAGGCACTAGAGTTAGTGTTTTATCCCTAAATAATTTCAATTTTTAAAAACATGCAGCTTCCCTCCCCCCTTTTTTATTTTTGAAGAATACATTTGGTCACAAAGTGAAACCCGTATTAGCAAGTACGTGGCAATGTTCATTCCAATCAGATGCAGCTTTCTCCTCCGTCTGGTCTCCTGTGTGCAATTGCTTCCCTCATGTCAGTAGGGAAAAAATTGAGTGGGAGTACTGAGATGTGTGGGCTTTTGCCATTGGACAAAGAATGAGGTTAGAAGACTGCAGCTTGGGTCTCTCTAGGTTTTCAACTATTTCTTCACAATTTAAACACTTGACGGTTGTCCCTTTTAATTTATTTGAAGTGCTATTTTTTTAAATAAAGGTTCATCTGTCCATGCAGTCCTCTTGGATTCTCTGAATGTAGTAACTATCGCAACTGTTGAAAGGCAGGCAGAAAACAGGCTGGGCAGCCAAATCCAATGCCCCAGGGATCAGGAGTCCTACCCGCAGTCTCTGTGTGCTCGCTAAATGGTGCACATTACTTGTTAACCACAATATTAAAACTCGATCAGCACATAAGCTTTCCTCTGTTAGATCTTTTGGCAGGAAATAACCTCCAACCTCTAAATTTCGTGAGTGTGTGCTGGTGTGTGTGTCTGTGTGCATGTGCACACGTACTTTGTCTAACTCACTTTAATAGATGCACTAAGTGGAGGTAAAACATAATCTCAAGGGAAATAGGTATTTCAAATATGAACTCTTTTTGGAACTAATATTTTTTTTTAATGTGGCTGTTTCTGAGATGTGATCAACTGAAGATGGAGCTAAAATGGGAGCTGCGAGGCCCTACCGTGCCCTTGAAACAGCAGAGCACTCGGCAGTGGAGAGGAGGCAGAGCCCGAACATGTGGTAGCCAGCTTGGAATGTTACTGACATATGTGGCAAAAGGGCTTAGCCAGAAATATTTAAAGATGCAGCATTCAGGCATGCGAGTTCCCTGGGCAGGGGGAGGGGAGTCAGGAAGGGTAGAGAGCTCTCAACTAACTCAAGACACTAGTGTTTCTTTTATATATGATAAATGCCACTGGTGACATGTTTCTTAGGTCCTTTGTTTGTTCTATGAACCTGCCCCTCGCCCCAGAATCAGGCCGTCTTAAGGGAAGCGGAGTTCCAAATTGGAGAGAGGCATGTGGGTAGGTATCATCCTGTGGACTCTGAATAGAAGGAATTCAGCCCCAGAGCCCTTGGTGCTGCCAACTTTCTAAAGCTGTTTTATTGCAGTGTATATTTATACACATGTGCACATAAACACACAGACAAATATCTGTGCACACATGATGTGTGTGTAAAATACCTTTTTTAACTATTACAATCAAGCTACAAAGCGGAGAGTACCCAGGGGATCTCAAAGGTTGAGCACAATGCCAAAAGGATGGTGTCTGCACATGAAGAGATGAAGTTGACACTAGATTTAAATTTACTCCGAATATTAAATTCTGTTCCTTTTTTCCTCCCTCTCACTCAATAATCTTGTAAAAATTTTTAACTTTTTTAGCAGTTTAAGAAATGCTGCATCTTTCAGCTTTCCCTCTAACGTCCTGCCTCCTTTTTCCGCATGGGCTACACGAAGCTGCAGGGCTTTACTTACCTTTCTTTTCTACCTGGTCCTGAAGAAGGGATGCCCTCTCTCCTTGCTTTCGTTGAGTCTAGGGCCTAGTTGAAGCTGCCTGGGCTTGGTTGAGTCTGGGCAAGGCCTCTTTCCACTGCATGGACCAGCCCCAGAAAACATGCAGAAGGTTGACCTTTACCAGACTTTTAAATAGCCAGTGAAATCACTAAGTGGGGTTCTTCCACGATATATTTTGTTAATATGGGTTTCACTTTTTCCAAGGATAATCCCTTATTGCCATGATGTTGATTTACTTTAAACTGATTTTTTAAATGTGTATTAATTTGTAATGAAATCCAGCCAGACTGTTTTGGCCTTTCCCAATCTGGGGGGTGGGGAGGATATTAAAATAAGTTTTAAGAAGTGAATTTCCCAGCCTCTTGATTTTACTGTAGTTCAAACAGCCCTAACCATCTAGGGTGTAGCTAAGGAGTCCTGGCAGCTAGCTGAGACCCAGTGGACATCACAGGCATGATGGGAATGTGTTGATTCATGCAACACCTTTTGCACCTCGGATGTGCTAACAGCTATGCTTCTGGGTGGGAATATAGCAGTGAACAGACAGGGAAGGCACAGCCATCAGTTCACAATCCAGGGGTGAAGGCACTGGGCCCCAGGAAGGGCTGGAATATGGGGGTCTGAGGGGACGGAATTGAGCTCTGAATTATCCATTGTGAGCTTTAAATGGGGATTCACCATTGAGAGCCATATGCACCCCACTTCTGTGGCTGATCTAAACAGGTCTGCTATAATTTTAGGTTTGTTTCCCTGTTTCCTGCTAGTCCAGGAAAGACAGGTTTTCCTCCAGCTGAGAAGATTAGCAGTCAAGGAGCTCTTGTGTTTCTTAATTTAGAAAATAGCTCTCTCTAAACATAGTAAATATAGTTGCCTCCTATAATCTTAGAGCTAGAAGTGAGCTGCGGGTCCAGCTCCTTGCTTCTAAGAAGGCAAAGTTTACAACTAGCTTGCCCCACCTTGGTGATTGTTTTTCTTTTTTCTGAGAATCCTTTCCCCCATATTCATCATCCTAATTGCCCAAGCTCTCTTTGTTTGGAATTTAAATCTGCCTGGGGTAAGAGAGGGTGGGGCATGGGGCACAACTACTTGGGGTATGGGGAGCCCCTCTTCCTAAAATTAGCTGTTCCGTCTTGTCTTATGGCAGAATCACCTAGTGGTTAAGAGCCTGGGCTTTAGAATTAGGTTCAAATCCCACCTCTGCAAGCTTCTGGGGTAGCTCCTTGCATGGTTAAATTACAGAGTAGAAATAAGGTTTGTAAAGTACCTGATACATAAGAGAGAAATTTAAAAAAAAAAAAAAGTGGTTTAAAAGGATCACAAGAGCCCAGCCGTCGTGGCTCAATGGTTGAGCTTCTACTTACGAACCAGGACGTTATGGTTCGATTCCCAGTCAGGGCACATGCCCCAGTTGCGGGCTCAATCCTCAATGTGGGGCATGCAGAAGCAGCCAGTCAGTGATTCTCATCATTGAAGTTTCTCTCTCTCCTCCCTTCCTCTCTGAAATCAATAAAAATATTTTGAAAATAAATAAATAAAAAGATCACAAGATCCAGTAAGCGGGATTGCTGGTCCTGGGATGCCCAAGTTTGCTGGTTAGGGTTCAGAGCCTTTCTACTTCCAGACTATCAGATCCTTCTGTCTTTGGTAAGTGATGCAGACCTTTTGGGAGCCTTAAACCCTCTGGCTTGAGACTAATACCAACCTCTATCCTATGAGGTCAGCAGTCTCTTAACCCAGGCCCAGGATTACTTCCCTCTGAGTCTGGAAGGAGCATCTCTTAGGCCGGTGAGGCCCCAGGCCAGCAGCATCAGCATCACTTGGGAACCTGTGAGGATGCACTGTTCTCAGCCCCGCCCCGCCCCGCCCCACCCCACCCCAGCATTCTCTGGAAGTCCTGCAGAACTTCCTATCAGGGTGAGGCCATTGGAGAGGGTGGCTCTCAGGCCTTGTCTAAACTTATCCCTCTGGAAGAGAGATGACTTTTATTTTCTGTTAGGAATAAAAATCTAAGCTCTGGGCTGTCCTAGGACTGATGTCATACATACGCTCCTCTATGGGGAGCCCCAAGAGGGCCCCCTACACCACATCCTTTGCTACCTAAACAATACACTCAAGAATCATTCATTCCTTTGAGCAAAGCTTCTTACCTTTGGCCTTTTCTTAAAATAAAACAACTTACCAGTACCTTCTCGTGTATTAATTTATTACATTTTTCTTTTACCTGAGGGATCCAGAGCTGCAGGACAAAGCTGAGACCTGGGTCTGCTTATGAAGCCAGCCTAGCAGTCTGGCTCAGGGGTGAAGAGAGCCCAGTGGAGGACTGGAGGTTTTCGGAAGGGTTGGGAAGGAGAGAGTATAGGCAGGGAGAGGAAGGTTAGGAGGGTGTGGGTAGTGGCTGCTGCTGAGCTCTGCAGGTGGGCTGGGGGAACCTGCCAGCGGCTGGGAAAACTGTCCGGCCAGGGAGCAGGTCTGAGACCTGGTGGGGGCAGGGAGTACAAGGGCCCTATTGTGCTGGGGGAGCTCAGCAGGGGCCCTAGACAGTCTGGAGTCAGCAAAGGGGTGTGTGTGTATGTGGGAGGGGCTGGGCAAGAGACCCGTGGTTCCAAGGGGTCAAAGAGCAGCTGGCTGGCCAACAAGGCCCCATCCACCCCTGGCCGTGGGTCAGGCCTCCTGGCTGTGGAGGTAAGTGCCCAGCTAGAGAACTATGGTAACCTCAGCCTCCTTTACGCCTCCAAGCACAGTCTGCATCTGTGGTGGCCTCCTGTGCTGCCCAAGCCTTTCATCCTGAGGCAGCTTGGGGAGGGGTTGCAGAGGGCAGGGGATCTAGCACTACTGCTTTCAGGGAAGGTTCTCAGCTGCGCTTCTTCACAACCCCAGCATAGGCAAGATGGAAGCGTCTCGCTGATTTTACAGATGAACAAACAGGCCCAGAGAGGCACGGTGCCTGGTAGTAGGTAGAGCAGGTTGCATGGGGATGAACTGCAGGCTTGAAAATAGGTGGATTCTGAGTGCCATCCTGGGGCGGACACTGCTGTGGGTGATGGCTGCACCTCGGCTCCAGCTGGAGGCACATCTGACCCTAATCCAGGGCTCCACTCCCCAGGCTGCCTTCACTCCATACCTCCCCTCCCTCATGGCTAGCCCTTGGAAGTCTGGAGACCCAACTGGCCTGGACAGCAGCCCAGCCTCGCAGTGCTGGCTGGAACTGAACTTCGAGAAAATGGGGACGTGGCTTCCTGAAGTATTCCTGTTTCAGGTTCCCTAAGCCATCTGATCTTGTCATCTTGCTTTACAGATGACGCTACAGTGCTGCCCCATGCCAACCCTGGACAACTCGTATCTTCCTGTTCCTGTGTCCTAATTGGCAGGTGGGGGGATTGAATCCTCTGCCTTGACTTCTTTGTGGTTTCTGTAAGGCTTGGACGGGGTGGGAGATCTTTCTGGCAGCCCCAGCTCTATCAGTGGATAGAGCGTCAGCCCTCAGACTGAAGGGTCCCAGGTTCAAGGGCACGTACCTTGGTTGCAGGCTTGATCCCAGGTCCTGGCTAGGGCACATGGGTGAGGCAACCAGCTAATATGTCTCTCTATGTCTCTCCCCGTCCCTTCGACTCTCTCTAAAAATCAATAGAAAAATACCCTCGGGTGAGGATTAACAAACAAAAAAATAATAATTAAAAATAAATCTAATTTAGGAAAAAAAAAGATTTTTCAGCAACTGAAAGAGTAAAATTCAGAGGGTGTTCCACCAGATGCCTCCTCCCTGTCACAGGGGCCCCTGGAGAGAAGTCTGTGGACATAGAAGGCCTCTCAGTGCAAGTAGCAGCCTGATCCTAGAAGGGAGCCTGTCCTAGAGGCAGACCCGAGACTGTGCCTTAAGGGAATGCCGCCCATGGCTTAGTGGTTGAGCCTCGACCTATGAACCTGGTTGCCTGCAGGGAGAAGTGAGAGAGAACCATTGATTGGCTGCCTCCTGCATGCCCCCTATTGGGGATCGAGATCACAACTGGGGCGTGTTCCCTGACCTGATTCATGGATTGACGCTCAACCACTGAGCAACCCGGCTGGGCTCATATAACATCTTGAAAAGAGGCAGATGCAGGAGCCCCCAGACCAACCAGAGCTATGGACTAGAGTAGCCTTAACTCCTGGCTCAGCCCCGTCCTCAGGGCAAGGACAGGCTTGGAGGAACTATAACTCTAGGTGGCAGCGCCCCCTGTGGAGCAGACAGGGTGATGTGACACCCCTCTCCCTTGCTCCAACACCAGTTGGGTGGGCACTAGAAGGTTCTGGGAACTACATCCCATCCAATTGCAACTGATTCCTCAGCTCAGTACAGCCTGTGCCTCAGGCCAACCTCTGCCCATCTCTGCTCCCCTGGTGGCCAGCTTGCTCTCGACCTGACCTGCCAAGGCCTCTGGGTGAGAATGCTGGAGACAGTCCATTTGTGTCCCCTGCTGCAGCTTGGGCTCAACTAACAGCCTGTCCCTGCTGACAGCCGTAGACATTACCTTGTGACTTCTCCATTTGGAAATCCTTGTCCAAACTCCTAGCCCACAGGGAGGAAGTCAGCACGTATGGCCTACCAGAAGCGATCTCGAGGTAATTTTTTCCTACCGCTTGGGAGAGAAAAGGCTGGGACTTGGAGCCCTTTTAAAGAACATCTAGCCTGGCTGGTGCACCAAGAGGTTGTTGGTCAGGGCACATATCCTGGTTGCAGGCTCGATCCCCAGCAGGGAGCATGCAGGAGGCAGCCAAATGATGATATTGATGTTTCTCTCTCATTGATGTTTCTATCTCCCTCTCCCTTCCTCTCTAAAATCAATGGAAACTTTTCTTTTTAATAAAGGAAGTCTAATATAGGTCTTGGGCTGAAAGTGAGTGGATACAAACTCGGCAGCCCTCCTGGGGAGTGGAGGTTGGAGGCGGGCTTCTAGGCGTCCTCCAGCTAAAGGGTGAAGGGAAAGAATGTGGGGAAATGGGCAGAATTTTTCTCAGGTTATATTTGTGGCCATCATGGGGCAGACTTGTCAGGAAAAGACAGGCCAGCCATAAATTTCCCCAGTAATGTGGATGCCAGAAAAATAGTTCCTTTAGGTTAACTGATTGTCCCAATGTCATACAAACTGGAAGAGGTAGAGCCAAACCTTGAAACTTCTTCCCTCTTTATTTTATTTTTTTTTAATATATAGTTTATTGATTTTTTACAGAGAGGAAGGGAGAGGGATAGAGAGTTAGAAACATCGATGAGAGAGAAACACCGATCAGCTGCCTCCTGCACACCCTCTACTGGGGATGTGCCCGCAACTAAGGTACATGCCCTTGACCAGAATCAAACCTGGGACCCTTTAGT